CTGGACAGATTTTGAAGAACTGTCCAGGCATTTTACGTTCCTCATTTGCATGTCTTGGCTGGATCCCGCGACTCCGAAACAGAGTAACTCTCATATTGTGCACAAAACGTTGAAGTATCATGTGCAGCGAAGGACTTGAAATCAGTTTCCTACCGTCTCATGTTTTCGCTGAACTGTGACGTCAGCACAAACTTCAGCAAGCCTTTACTTTGTGCCACCAACAGCTGACCACGAACTCTCGCGACCTACCCTTCTTGTTATCACCTCTGCTTGCATATCTTATTTGTATCGGTTATATCAGTTATACGCCTGTGCTGTATAAGCTACCTCATTTAGTTCGGCTTTCACTCTCTCTCACACTCGATGCTACAACACAAAAGGGGTCGCCAGCAGTAAACTACTACTACTACATAAGAAGTTCCAAAGCCAGAATTGCGAAACCGTTGGTAGCAAAAACAGAAAATTGCGAACGCTGCTTCTGTCTTCCTCGTTATCTTGCCGGTCAAGCATTTCGACCTGGTTATATCAGTGAAACAGCCGGAAAATGCTTGCTTGTTATAACTAATTCTCACACGTACAGTTTGTTATTGTACCTTCTCTTCGTTTTATGCTGTGTAACAGCAATATAAAACACATGTTGTCACGGGGTTTTCTATGTGTTTGTGTGTGACACGCAGCAACTTGTCCGCAACTTTCAGCTTGAGAAGCACAAAAGCTAGAAAGCTGAAAATTTAGGGGACGTTCCCCACCCACGTGTGACCTCGCAAATTTAAATCCAGCCTTCCCGTACCTGCGGCTAACACGTACGGCCCCGTAAAAGCTTGGAGGGTAAAATTATTACCACGGGAACCACGGAAGCTAGAAGGCTGAAATTCTGTGGGCATGCCCTCCGCCCATGTGCTACCCAGAAAATCTAAATTTAGCTTTCCTCTGCCCGCGGGTAACATGTATGGCCCCGTGAAAACTTTTGACGGGTAAATTATCTCGAGAACCAGGGGTCTGTGAAACTGAAACTTTAGAGTAATGACCCACTGCCCACGCTCAATCTTGCTTTCTGCACTCCCAGGCATCACCTACGGCCTCATGAAAGTTTTGGCGGGTAAATTATTATCTCGGGACGACGGAATTTACGAAGCTGGGACTTTGGAGTAATGACCCTCTGCCCACGCTCGACTTTGCCCATTCAAATTCAGCGTTCCTGAGCTCTCGGGCATCATCTACGGCCTCGTGAAAATTTTTGCGGGGAAATTATTATTTCGGGAACCATAAAAGCCAGGAAGCTGAAACTTTATAGTAATGTTTTCTGTTCACATACAATCCTGTAATTTTAAACTCAGCTCCCTGCACA